CCCCCCCCCCCCCCAGATATAGGAAAAGCATCCAGAAACACTCTGTGAGCTGAGAACCTGTAAGACATTCTTCTTCTCCAAGATTTAGAAGCAGAACATGGGGGACTGGTTTTTCTGTTCCTTTTTCCTTCCCTAATTGGGAGTTGTCTGTAGAAATAACTGTCTCCACACACCAGCATGTTGATCTAACCAGACAGGCAAGAGATGAGAATGACCAGTGTTTGGTGACTTGTGGAAATGACTGCTGTAAAAATCACAGGCAGGTACAGCTTGTCTTGATTTTTGGATGAAAAGGGTAAAGCAGGAGACAACGCTGGCATGGAGAGCAAGAGTGCACCTTTCAATAGCACCATTGCAGCAGAAGGGAGCTGGTTGCTTCCATACGTAGATTGATCAACTGGAAAAGGGTTTGCAGCAGAGGCTGAAGAACCCTCTGACTTGCCCAGTGGCTGTAGCCACGGAAGATCCCAGTTGTGTTTCTTTACTTGTTTCTGAGGCATTCACTGAGCTCACGACAGAGTGCCATATGAGGCAGATTAAGTTACCCTCACATCCCCCCTACCAAAATTGGGTGTTTGTATTCAGTGATCCCTTTGGTGCTTGGCTTAGACTAGCCTTAAAGTAGCTACCAGGCTGTGTCATTATGGAAAAAAAACCCTTTACACTTTGCTAAGGCAATAGTCAAATGTTTTACCAGAGCTGGCTTCTTTTGCTCTCTAATGGTTTTGGTTTTCTTTTACTCCATTTCTTGTTTATGAATCCTTTCAAAACAGGCCAATGGAAGCCTTCAAGTAGGTTTTTAAACAACTTTTGACAATGTTTTTAGTCATTCTGAGCTAAAAATAATACAAATCAGCAGGTACAGACTGGAGATGCATACCTTCAGTCCCTAAAGGACCTTTTACTGCATTTGCTCTGTAGAGGGGAGCAAATAGAGGCACAACAGGGGAAAAAAAAAAAAAAAAAGATATATCAGTTCCGTTTGTTCACCTTACTAGGGAGCAAATGCCAAGGCTTATCTCTGAGCAGTGCCATTGCCTTCCTCACCTCAGAAGAGAAAAACTCATTGTCTTGTCCGTGATGAAAAAATTAGAAGGGTGCTTTTCTCCCTGCTACGTGCGGTTAATGGTGACTTACACAAGAGGTAAGCACAGCTTGCTTATTCTCCTCCGATGGGAGACTGGATATGTTCATGTTTCCCCAAGAAGAATTTAGAAATGGTATTTGGCATCTCCAGCACTGACCTCTCCTCATTCCCTGCTTCATTCTTGGGCTCTTGAGTATTTCTGGGTGCCTGCCACTTTTTCGCTGTTTTTGTAGGTGAGCTTCTTCATTGTAGTTTAGTTCTTTGATCCCACCAGTCCATTTGTACCAGTCTGGATCATAGGAGAAAGCACCTGAATGCATTTTATTTCTCTGGACAGTAAAAAGGACAACCCCATTTCCCTCTGGCTACTTGCCTTTCTTGTTACAGAGGACTACCGAGTCAGAGAGTCACAGAAATATCGATCAGGCAGCATCCTCAACAATATTCAGCTCTTAACTGAAACACTTGGAAGACTGTCAAATTTTGAAGTATTTTGTTTTGTAACCCATACGTCACAGGACAGCGATCAGTAGAGATTTAAAAAGCAAGAGATTATTCTAATTGTCTTTTCAGCTTTGAACAGCCAGCAAGCTCCCAAGAATAGAAGGCAGGAGCAGTAGAGTCCTGGTGGAGCTACAGAGCACAAGAACCACTTCTTAACTTTGCACCAGTGATCTGCAGAAGTGTATATATATATACACACACATATAAAATTAAATATCACCTACATTAACATCTTCAGCTGATACAGAAGTTGGTGGAAAGGTAGATCATGAATAAGAGAAAACAGTGAGCAGGCTTTTCAGTAACTTGCAAATAACATTCAGGTTTTGGATAACATTCACATAACTTGGTATTGACAAACCTGGAATTGTGAGCCTAAAGAGCCTTTCTGCGGAGGCAACTCTGTTTGCTTTGACAAGAGGTTGACGTTTGCACTAGAAGAGCAATTCAGCAAAGTCTGGTGACTGCAGTCCTCAATTCTATCAGAGAATCCATATATATATGTGTTTATATATGGGATAATACAGCAATTTGCATCCCTTTGGGAGTAATTCACAACAGAGCAATATTCTGAACGGACGGAGGTGAGCAAAATTTAACCCACTCTGTCTTTTGAGGAGATTTTATGATGACTATAAAGCCACTGAGCCAGAGAAGCAGTTGTATTATACCTGAAGAGGTTATCCAGAATTGTGTCTGAAAAGTTGATTTCAGAGAAAACAGTAAGCTTAAAAGAAACCTTCAGGTCAGGACCCCTTTGGCAATGCAGCAGTGGCTCCTGACATGGCCACATAGTGCACGCAGCTGGCTGCACACTAAGTTTTGCATTTTTAGGGCAAGACACAATGGCCAAATGCTCATTTGGCCTCCTCAAAGGAAAAGCAGCAGGGGCTTGCCACGTTCTACATCTGTATTTAGTCAGACAATTAGTAGCACCCGTTTCTGTATATGCTGTGAGATTCCCCAGGATCCCCCATGAAATTTGAGTGTATTGTTCAAGAGCTTTCCCAGCTGACCACAGCAAGCATCAGCCTGCAGTGAAAGCTCTGGACGAGGAAATGGAAAACTGTAAAATGCAGATCCATGTCCTCGGCTGCCACTGAAGTCTTTCCTTCAAAGTTACATTATTAAATGCAGTACTTGCATTTAATAAGAATGCTGCTTCTTGCCTAAGAATTGGAATTTTTAAAAGCACAAAATGAGATGGCTCTCAGATTGGGAGTAATGCACGTTTATATTTTAGGAGCATGAAATTGTGCTGGGAATATAGACACAAACATTTTTGTGTACAGTCCCCCTGTGTACAGTGGGACTTCAGCGCTGGTTTAAAACTCCCTTTCTTGAAGAGGTATGTTTTTTTGAATTTGGGCCAAACAAAGAACAACTACTGTTCCAAATGTCCTAAATGATACATTTCCCAAGGGAAAAAATATCAGCTGAAAACCTACAAGTTACGGTCCTTTAAAATATTTTGTTAAGCTGCAGTCATTTGTGGTGTTCACTGATAATGGATATTAAACACGAAAAGCATTGCTCTGCATAGTTTAACTGAGTCTCAGTTCTCATCTTAAATACTTGCATTATGTTGGTTGGCAGGACATATGTTCATGGTTTTTTATGCTATGTGTGGTTATTTTTTTTTAAATACATTAAGTTACATAACAATGAGCCTACACTATCTACTTGGTTGCAACGTGTCAAGGGCTGGTTACTCCCAGGCAGAAAAAATACTGTTAAAGTGCACCTCGGTTGCTGTATTTCAGAGTCAGAGAATATTACATACAGTCGCCCATTTGCACTCAACTTCATTGGAAAATTCATCTAGATAATTTAGCTTTAATTTGGTGTTAAATGTATTTGTCATATAGTTTGAGGTAAGCTAAGCTATTTTTGTAGACATAAGTTTTTAATAATCATTACAGTGTAGCTGTTACAGAAGCTTACATTGCATATCTTCAGTTTCACACAAACCCCACCAGAACTCTTCATAAATGCCTCACTTCAGTATTTTGCAGGCATGTACATAGCTTGCTCCCTAGTGTTACCCACAGTTCTATTTATTTATTTGTTTTACAGTTCTTTCCATATGGAGATGCTTCAAAGTTTGCCCAGCACGCTTTCCGAACCTTTGATAAAAACGGAGATGGGACCATTGACTTCAGAGAGTTCATTTGTGCACTGTCCATCACCTCACGAGGGAGTTTTGAGCAAAAGCTGAACTGGGCCTTCAACATGTACGACCTGGATGGTGACGGTAAAATAACAAGAGTGGAAATGCTGGAAATTATAGAGGTGAGATTAATATGACACTCAAAAATAACATGAACACTAGTAAAATTTGATTGCTTGTTCACATATGTCGCGACCCAGCTCATAGAACCACCC